TAAATTGTCATTCATCCTCTTGTTATTCAGCTGAGTCAAGTTCTGTGAGAAGTTTTACCTCAAATGAATCTGTCACCGAAATGATGATGAGGTTCAATGTGATAAATAGCACTTACTCCAAACTCAAGGAGGAGAACTCTCGGCTTAGGCTTAGCTATAATGAACTAAAGCAAGTTCGTATTGAGAACAATATGCTAGTCATTGCTAAGGAGCAGCTTGAGAAAGATGTTCTCGCTCTAAAGGAGCTGTGCACAACAAAAGAGAAGAGAGAGCAAGAACTGCTTGAAGTTTTGGATAAATTCAATAATTCATCCAACCTAATGGATAGAATGTTGAATGAATCCAGACTGCCCGGGGAAAGAACTGGAATTGGTTTTAACCCCAGCTCCTCTTCACAAGTCGAATTGAACAAATCCACGAATGCATATTCACACGAAAGCTTCGAGGCCGCATTTGTTCAAGGACCCACCCAGGTGTCTGAGCCTATGATGGTAGTTAACATTGTCAAAACACCACAATCAACAAGCCAACCGAAAGGTACGGCTGTACAACGAATTGTGGAATCTGGAAAGAAGAAATCTAGTAATGGCAACCCTAGACAAATCTATGTCAAAAGGAATGGACCAAATGGCAATAAACAGAGTCCACGCCATAAAAAGGGTCAGCCTAACTGGAACACTCAATCCAACAAAAAGACGAATGGTAACCAGAGGCAATATCGTCCGAAATTCACACGAAAGAATCCTGCACAAGGAATCTTAAGAAGCGGACAAATCAGACAACCCGAAAGATCCTTCAAAAGATCTGGGTATGGGAATGGATGGACTGGGCCATCAGAAGAAGATTGGTTTGATTATCCAGAACCTCTTCCAAGAGCAGTATTTGAAATGGTTCATCTGCGTAAACAGACTAATCATCTCAAGCATTATGAAAATCTTCCTCAGGAAGATCAACGTAAGAAATATAATGCTAAAGTCTTTGCCAGCATCCATTATGATTATCGCACATCCAATGGATATAGAGGACCGAGGATGAGTCGTGGATACTCTAGGTTAATATGGGTTCCAAAGTTGACTGCTAACCCCCAAGGACCCGAAACTAAATGGGTACCTAAAAACACATAATCTTTGATGCAGGAAAAACAGGTCATATGGTATATTGATAGTGGATGCTCAAGACATATGACTGGTGACAAAACAATGTTGAGCAACTTTAAAGAATTTGACGGACCCAAAGTTATCTTTGGAGGTGAAAATAGTGGCAAAACTCGTGGAAAAGGGGACATCATCAACAAGGGAATAACAATTCAAGATGTCTCTTATGTTGAAGGACTGAAGTTCAATCTTCTAAGCACAAGTCAGTTTTGTGACAGAGGATACAAAGTAGAATTTCTCAAAGACAAATGCAAAATTGTGAACACGAAAGATAACAAGACAACTTTAACAGGACAACGAAAGAAGAATATGTATGTATTATCTTTAAATTCTTCTAATGCTAACGTTTGTCTTGTAGCCAAAAGTAATGCAGATCTCAATCAAGAATGGCACAACAAACTAAGTCATCTAAACTTGAAGACGATAAACAAGCTTGCCAAGAGAAATCTCGTAAGAGGTCTACCCGAAGCATCTTACATGAAAGATAAAATATGTGAGGCATGTCAAAAAGGAAAACAATTCAAGTCATCCTTTAAGTCAAAAGATATAGATACAAAGTCTCGACCTCTAAGCCTTCTACATATGGACCTCTTTGGACCAGTTGATCCAGCAAGTTTGAGTGGAAGAAAATATACTCTTGTTATAGTAGATGACTTCACAAGATATACATGGGTGCTCTTCTTGAAAAAGAAGAATGAAACAGAAACCACTCTTCCAAATATTTTGAAACAACTTCAGACAGAAAAGGAGCTCAAAATAATTCGAATAAGATCAGATCAGGGAACGGAATTTGTCAACAAAGTCATAAAGGAATTCTGTGCGCAAAATGGAATTTTCCACCAACTTTCGGCAGCACGAACTCCTCAACAAAACGGAGTAGCCGAAAGAAGAAACAGAACCTTGAAAGAAGCTGCACGAACGATGATCTCTCACTCAGGACTACCTAAGAGATTTTGGGCTGAAGCCATAAACACGACATGCTATACACAAAATAGATCCTTGATCAACAAATCTCACAACAAGACACCATATGAGTTATGGAAAGGTAAAACACCTAGTATCAGTTATTTTCATGTCTTTGGTTGCAGGTGCTTCATACATAACAATGGAAAGAATCATCTAAGAGCGTTTGACGAAAGAGCTGATGAAGGGTTATTCATGGGTTACTCCTCTGTAAGCAAAGCATTCAGGGTTCTAAACAAACGAACAATGGTAATTGAGGAATCCATTCATGTCAAGTTTGATGAACAATCTGAGATGAATCCATCAGGATGTAAAACATCAATCGAGGCAAATCAAAATTCTCAGCAACCTGTTGATGAAAATACCTCAGACGATGAAGACATACTCTCGTCCTACATGAAATATCATCTAAAGGTTCATGAACCCGAACCGGTGCCTCAAGAAAAGGTTTGAATTCAACAAAATGATCCTTCATCTATCACAACATCTGAACTAATGATTTACATTGATCTACCTTACATTCCTGAAATGGGCGCTCAAAATCAACAAGATACTTTTGAACCAGACCTTCGATGGTTAAAAGATCATCCATCAAATCAGGTTATTGGAAATATTCAGGAAGGTGTAAGAACAAGAGCCTCCTTGCACGAAAGTATGATGGCGTGTTTCCTGTCACAAATGGAACCAAAAACCATAGAAGAAGCTCTAAAAGACCCAGACTGGGTAATAGCCATGCAAGAAGAACTCCACCAATTTGAACGAAATAAGGTATGGGAACTTGTCCCGAGACCATCTCATCAGAATGTCATTGGAACTAAATGGGTGTTTAGAAACAAAATGAGTGAAGATGGGCTCATTGTTAGGAACAAAGCTCGACTTGTTGCTAAGGGGTATTGCCAAGAAGAAGGTATTGATTTTGATGAAACCTTCGCCCCTGTAGCTAGATTGGAAGCTATTCGCATATTTCTAACTTTTGCAGCCTATAAGAACTTCAAAGTTTATCAAATGGATGTCAAGAGCGCTTTCCTAAATGGACTTCTTGAAGAAGAAGTATATGTTGAACAACCACCTGGCTTTGCAATAAATAATGAGCTTGAAAAGGTGTATCATCTTAAAAATGCTCTTTATGGCTTAAAGCAAGCTCCACGAGCCTGGTATGATACTCTCTCACACTTTCTTATCAATTGCGGCTTCACGAAAGGAGTGGTTGATAAAACACTCTTTCGTATAAAAGATAATGACCATATTCTTTTGGTACAAATCTACGTTGATGACATTATCTTCGGAAGCACGAATCCAATCTTATGTGAAAAGTTCTCTAATCTTATGAAAGGCAAATTTGAGATGAGTATGATGGGTGAACTGAACTATTTTCTGGGTTTGCAAGTCAAACAATGCCCAGATGGAATATTCATAAATCAAGCTAAATACACCAAGGATTTAATCCGAAAGTTTGGCATTGATGGAAAAAGTTCGGTTAAAATTCCAATGAGCACATCCCTCAGAATGGACATTGATAATGAAGGAAAGGATGTTGATCAAACAAACTTTCGAGGTATTATTGGTTCTCTCCTATACCTGACAGCAAGCAGACCTGACATTTCGTTTGCTGTTGGTGTATGTGCACGTTTTCAAGCTAGGCCGAAAGAAAGTCACCTAAGTGCAACCAAAAAGATATTAAGATATCTTAAGGGAACGCAAAGTGTCGGTCTCTGGTATCCAAAAGATGGATCATTTGATCTAGTTGGATACTCAGACTCTGATTTCGCTGGATGTCGGATTGATCGAAAAAGTACCTCAGGAACCTGTCAGTTCCTAGGAGGACGAATTGTGTCTTGGTTTAGTAAAAAGCAAAACTCTATTGCCACAAGCACGGCTGAAGCCGAATACATAGCAGCCGAAAGTTGCTGTGCTCAAATCTTATGGATGAGACACCAATTGAGAGATTATGGCATAAATGCACAAGAAGTGAGCATAAAATGCGATAACACGAGTGTTATCGCTATCACGAACAATCCCGTGCTGCACTCTCGGACCAAGCATATTGACATCAAGTATCACTTCATTCGTGATCATGTCGAGAAAAAGAACATATCTCTTGAGTATGTCAATACTGATGATCAACTTGCAGACATACTCACGAAACCCTTAAGTGAAACAAGATTCTCCTCTCTAAGGCATGAACTCGGAATGATTGAAATGACGTAAATCTTAGAGAATCAAATCTGCAAAGATTCTTGCTCTCGAAAATCAAAAGATTTGATTCATTCTCACACGCAAGGATCTTTATAAATGAAATACTCTATGAGAATAATTTTCTCATCTAACAAAAATTCTAGTGTCTGTCTTTACATGTGCAGGAATGAGCACGGGAAGAGAAAGAACCATTACGGAGGCACGAGAAGGAAAAAGTGAAGTTCTCAGTGAGCCACTAGTAACTGAGCAACAGCTCAATCAGTTCCTTGAACACGCTCAACACATACGAAACCTTCTCCGTAACACGTCCGATAATGAGTCACGAGAATCTTTCCACTCTGTTGGCAATCCCATTGGATATGTCAAAGAAAACAGTGTGCTGGAACTAAGCGACAGTTTTGACTACTCACCCTCAGGCACCCCCACCAAGATAGCATCTCCTCTCAAGTCCACCGCAAGCAGCAAGAAAAAGAAAACTTGAATAACTTTGTTAGGCCACGGTGACAAATTGTGATGTTATCTTGCTTATGATCTTTTTAATTTATAACTCCATCATGCAAATATTTTGTCAGTATCTAAAATATTTTGTTAAGATTCGCACGTTATCTTTTGCCTATATATATTATTCTTCTATTTCATGAGCTTTACTCATTCACAAAATTTTAGAGAAGGATAAAGATTGCAGGAATGGATAAGGGAAAAGAAAAGAGCAACGAAGCTGAAAAAAGGGCCAAACGCCTAAAACATCATATGCGAAAAGCCGAAAAGCTTCCGAATGCCACCATCATAAGGCTTGAAGAAGATAGGGAAAGGGTCATTGTCACCTACTCCATGCCCAACACAGCACCAATGGACAAGGAAACTCATGAAAATTTGATCAACGAGTCCAGGGCTACAAAGGCTTACTGCATGGAACAAGCCACTCGGCTTGCTAAAGAGAAAATTCTGATGATGAAAAGGGCTAATGAGCAAACATCTTATGAAGTTCCTCAACCTAGTGAACAATCCTCTGAAGATATCACTATGGTTCACTCTCGGCCCGTAACTCAGTCACCCGAACCCACTCTCTCACTTGAGGAGTTGGATGAATTTGCAAAGATGACAAATCTGACTGATGTGACCGAAGAGATGACTCGCCTGGAACTTCACGTGCCTTATCGTTATGTTCCAAGCTCTAGCGCACTCTAGTGACTTAATCTTCTGTGCCTGAAAGCCAAATATATCTGTTCAGCGAGAGATGCTGGTAGCCCACTCCAACGTGTTGAAATACATTACATATAGAGGTATATATATAGATATACGAAAACCATTTTGAACATGAAGATGTAACCTACGAACTCTAGCTTTTAAAACCGGGAATGACTCGCCAGATAAGGCTAGACACAAGCAACAGTTATAACAAGCGTATACAATCTACAACAAGCAAGACAGATAAAGCTGAGCACAATTAATAATCATAACCCAACATAATCAATCCCCAGCATGAATCCCATAGTCCCATCCCTCAAGATACTCATAACCACAACTTATCCATATCTCATCACATCGCACACTTTGTTGGCGCCACAGGACCAATCACATGCCCATACATGAGGGTCAGCGCATATAGCTCTGACACGGCCCCGCAGCACCCTGCCCCGTCTCACATTACGGAGGAGCCGATCGCAACCGACTGATGGACCTTTGTCCTACATAATATTTATATACCTGACCGGTCTTTACCAGCCTGGTTAACAGTTGGGATGGTTCTCAGCCCATTCAACTGCCCGTATAGTGGACCTTTGTCCTATATAATATTTATATACCTGACCGGTCTCTACCAGCCTGGTTAACAGCCGGTATGGTTCTCAGCCCATCCGACTGCCCGTATAGTGGAACTTAGTCCTATATAATATTTATATACCTGATCGGTCTCTACCAGCCTGGTTAACAGCCGGTATGGTTCTCAGCCCACCCGACTGCCCGTATAGCCCGATTGATCTTAACCAACTCGGGGTTACATGCACACATAACACATAGCAAGTACATGCAACCCACATTAACACATTGGGAAGGGGGAGAAAAAGTATAACAAAACCTATGCGTGATCCATCACATACTAAGAATAGTCCTAAGGGGTTCATACTGCTTCTACCTAGGTCAACGGGATACCAATTCAACTAGCATGCAATATAATAGACTCATAAACCTACGAACGGTACCCGAAATATCAAACTAGACAAAGACACGATTAACGGAGTCCGTTGGGACACCACGGGGGACGGGGAAACATCAAACGGGGAAGCCGAGATCCCGAGGGGGATGATTTTCCAGCGGGTAGCCGGTGGGTGGGGGGCCACCCACCGGCTGCCCGCCGGGTATTACTGTTCCGGGCAGCGGGTCGCCGGCGGGCAGCTGCCCGCCCGCCGGCCGCCCGCTGCCGGAGATGTGTTTTCCGGCCGTGGGTAGGTGGCGGGTCCCCTACCCCCCACCTACCCCCCACTGACTCTTATCACACAGTTTCGCCCCGGGAACCATTGTGGAACCCGAAACCATGCTTAGACACTTTACAACGCAATTAACGACAACACGTAGACAATTAACGGATCAAATACGAGAAACGAAAGGCACATAACCTATCATGCTTTTCTAAACATAATCAACACCCAAACATGCGATTTCCCCACCCGATAAACCAAGAATAATATCATATGATACAACCTAGGGTTCTAGTCACTTTTATATCAACAAGAATACGGTTCGTCTTCTAATTGCAAGATTCGGTAAGAATAACACGTAAGCATCAAGAACAACACACAACTATCAAGAACATCATATAATCATCAAGAGCTCCATATAATCATCAAGAACACCATAACTATCGAGAATCTCCCAATATCAAGATTACCAAGATCCCCCATGGGATCATCACATCAATCATCAATAATATCATCACAAATCCGCAATATACAATAATATGGGGAAACCCTAAGGGGGAATCATAACTATGAAAATAGGTTTTGTTGAGACATGGGTTACCTCTTAGCCTTTATTTAATTCCTTGGCTATGAAGGGTCTTTCTCTAAGCTTTCTTGCTTTCTTGATTTCTTCTAGGGGATTCTTGGAGCTCTTTGGGGTGGTGGGCGTTTATTGTGGTGGGGGGGTTTCTAGGTGCCTCTTAAGTCCCCTATTTATATATTTAGGAGTCCTAGTTAGGAACTAGTATTATGGGCTTGCTAATTCTATTTCTTTTGGGACTAGGGATTGGGTTTAGGGATAAGGGCTCGTGGACTATGGTGGGCCTCCTAATTAATTATTGTGATTTAATTCTTTCTTTTGGGTAATTGATTAAATGATTTAATTGATCTTAGGGGTCGTAACACGGGGTGTTACACTCTCCCCCCCTTATGAGGGGCTTCGTCCCCGAAGCCCGGTGTGTTAATCCACTCTTTCACCCCCAGGCATCGCATTTTGGCCTCCTGTTTAGGAATGTGGCCCCACGTTTTGCCTTAGCTGGGGTAGACTGGATTTCTGGCGGTGTTGCGATAGAAAGGGTTTAAGGCCTACCTCGGTCTCCTGCTCCCGAGCTGGGTGCCCCGCGAGTGCCCAAGGTGGCCTCGATTGCTGCCACCCTTTGATCTAGTGCGTGTGTCGTACAGATCAGGGATGAGAATCCTTCCTCCATGATTTGGTTTTGTCGGTTGAGCTGTGCGAGTATGCGTTCATGGATTGAGTCCTCGTCTTGCTCCCTTGGATTTCCTCCTGATCGTGGTTGCACTATTGGGTTGGGTTCGTCTTCCTCCTCCTGGTCCTCATGTCCCTCCGAACCTCCGCAGTCTTGCATGGCTCGTTTGAGATTTTTGTTGGAGATGTCCAGTCGGTCGACCAATTCCCTTCGCTCTTCCTCGGGTTTTTGGCAAATTTCTTCGAGGGTGAGGTAATGTCCCCCTTCGGTGTAGTAGATGTCGTTGCGGCGGAGGTTCTGGGCGTTAAAAACCATGCCATTTGCGGTCTTGACCACGGTGTGGCTTAGGTCTACCCCCTTTTTCTCCATGATCCAACTTAGGATCATCCCGTAGGGTAGGCTAAGCCGGTTGTTCGATTTGCAGAATTCCATGTGTTTTAACATGAGTGCTGGCAGGTTGAACTTGATTTTATGTTTCAGGAGGTAAGCAAAGGTGCACTCCAAGCTTCCCACATCCTTGCTTTTGTTATTGGTGGACAAGAGGCTATCGGTTACAATCATAACCAATATCTTTTGCTTCGCCGATAGCCACTTTCGGTGTGGTCGAGTGGCCGAGGTGAACCCGTCCTCCTTCCCGAGTAGGTACTCGAGGTAGTCCTTGTATCCCGTAGTTTGGGTATCAATCCACCCCTTTCGGTCATAGTTAGACACACCCGTGGTGGTCAATTTCAAGAGCTTGGCCAAACGGCCTTCGGAAAGCACAATTTCCTTGCCACGGACCTTGGTGGTGATTTCTACCTTGTCACCCCATTTGGTGGCTACAAGGTGTTGATAGAACTCCTTCACCAATTCGGGGTACGTATCCCCTTTGATGGTGAGATACGTATCTAAAAGCCCTTGATGTTTGAGCATATCAACCAATTCCGGAGAGAATTGGTCGGGTTCAAGTGCTTTACCTCCGATCACGGTGTAATCGGCGTTGCTCCACTCCGGAGTGCGGGTTCCGAGGGGTTTCTTTGGCATCGTGGTGCTTCGGTTGATGGCGACGTTTTCCGGCGATTTTCCGGCGAGGCGGCGGCGGGGCTCCGACGTGTTTTTCCGGCGAGGTGAACGGTGCTCCGGCGCGTTTTTCCGGCGAGCTTCTAGGCGGCGTGGTTTCTTGTTTTCGAGGGGGATGGCGGCGAGGTGAAGGTTCGGCGTTGGTGCGGTGGGGGTGAGATGGTGGGGTGGCGTCGTTCGGGTGGAGGAGCCGCGGGTCGCCGCTGGGGAGCCTCCGGGTGGCGGGTTGCGGCCGGCTGGGACGGCGGCGCGGCGGTGTGGCGTTGGCGGGTGGTGTTCGGCCGGCGGCGGCGGTCGATCGGCGGTGATGATGGGTGGTTGTTGGTTTCTTTGGGGTGGGGCGGTGAGGTGTGCGAGAAGGAGAAGGGGAAGAGTGGGGGAAGAAGAAGGGGAGGAAGAAGAAGAAGGGTTTTTGATTTGGGGGTTTTATGGGTTTTAGGGATTTGGAGGGGTTTAACAAGGGAGTATTCCCTTAAGGTTTTCAAGAAACACTCATGGCTTAGTGGTTAGGGGCTTGGACTTATAAATAGGAGGTTTAGGGTTCAATTTTTATTGGCAACACTAGGTTCTTTGATGATGGGGCTTTTGTCTTTTTCCTTATTCCGGCTTCTAGTGGTGAGGTTTGGCTAGTTTGCAGGTAGAACCGAATTATGAACTAATCTTTTATTTATAATATTTCCAAGTAATTAAGCTAAGCAAGTAACTCTATCACGAAGGTGATTACAAGAAATTGCCAACCTATCCTAGGCAGAATTCGTCTTCTTGGCTTTCTCCCACGGGATTTGCGTGGTCCTCGTCTTCTGGGCCTTGGTTCCCTTCCTCGAGATCGCCTTCGTTCCCGAGGTCGACTTGAGTGCGGCTCATGACGAATATTTTCCCGGGAGCGCCGTAGTTTCCTTGATGAGTGGTGCCCCCATGTTGTCCCATGGTGGTAGTGCGTGGCCTTTGGGGTTGGGTGCAAAGGATGGCCTTGTGTCCTTCTTCTCCGCAGTTGAAGCATCGCAAGGGTTTGCCCATGCAATCCTTGCCTCGATGGTTCTTGTTGCATTTCGGGCAAGGGAAGCCCCTGGCGCTGGCGTCGTTGTTTTCCCGAGGTGGTCTTTGATTGGTCGGGTTGCCGGGTCTCGTGTTGGTGTCGTTCCTTGTTCTTTTTACTGGTGGCGCCCCTCCTCCGGGGTTCCTCTTCCGCATTTGCTCCTGAACCCCGCGTTGGAGTAGTTGGATTCGGTAGAGATTGGCGGCACTGGAGTAAGCCTCGTTGAGAGTCCGGGGTCTGCTTACCACTAGTGCTTTTCGGGCTTCAAAGTTGAGGCCCGATACGAATCTCTCTATTTTGGTTACCTCGATGGGGAGGAG